TACCTTTGAGGGAGTATATACAAGGCAATGTGGTGGATACATAAGAGCATTATCAAGCTTCAAGAGGCAATACGGTGGCACAGAGGGTAGAAAGCTGGCCTCAGAATCAGGATAATAAGGACAACCTGAATTCAGGGTTCCCTTGACACATACTAACTCCGTGACCCTGGGAAAAGTCACTCATCTTTTAAGGACCTCAGGCAACTCTTTAAGACAATAAGGCTCAGAAAAGTTGCTGATCTCCATTGGCAGAAGGAATGATCTCCCTGGGAACTCTATATGCCAATGAAATCACAGATCTGTCCCCCTAAAAATTATCCACTAAGAGTTTATCATAAAAATCAATTTGAGGAGCTAATTCCCAGAATGTGGTTATTGCAGACACTGACAAGGAGGTCAGGATAAAGACTGTTTGAAAATTCAGTCTTGGAGTCCTTCTTATCAAAGGCCATAAAGAAGAATAAGTTGGAAAAAAGGCTGAAAATGTGCTGCTTTATTCAGTCACTCTTTCCTTTTTCCCCCCATAAAGCTTTTCAACTTGATAGCCAGACAATGCAAAAAATAGCTTCTGGGTTTCATGTCCTTTTTCAAATATAATCTGAGCTTAAGTCAAGATTTCAGGGAAGTAGGTGGCAACAACCCAGAAAGCATAAAAGTATTTTTGAGTAAACTTGAAATAACAGCTGAAAACAGATGTGCTGTGCATGAGAGGGAAATTTTCAGAATCCACAGCAGCTTTTGTATAAATACACAAAAGTAGAATTTCTCTTAATTACCACATTGAATCCCAGTTTCCAGGTGAGATACAAATGTTAGAGCTTTTCATATACTTTTTCCAGGCACTGGAATATATTCTTATGCATCAATTTAAGTTGTTTGACTCATTTTCTTGAAAACTACATGAAAATGACAATTATAGATTAAAAAAAAAGTGATTGCCATTGCTGTCAGCCCTTTCACTGCTTAAAAAATTAAAGCTGAGGGAAAGAGTTTGATGCTAACGAGATGAAAACATCATACAGGATTCAAGGTAAATAAAATGATATAAAGCAATAGTAGTTAAAGGTAGGGAAAAGAAATCTAGGCTTCTTGCTCAACTCCTACACGTCCAAAAATGCTGGAATAAGCAGAGACACCAGAACCTACATTTATTATATTTTACAAGAGTCATTGAAAAAGATAATCTAAATGAATACGAAGATGAATCCAAAGATTATCCTTCAACCTTTCAATCATTCACTAAACACTGACTGAACACTTCTTTTGGAAAGGCATTATGTTAAATGATAAGAGCTTTAAGGCCAAAAAAATACAAGCATTTTCCGTAACATTAGCAATACTTTCCCATTATCAGAGGCAAATAATCCAAGGCAATTTTTGCTTTTAAATTGTTAACACCATCTAAGTTTACTTAATTCTACCACAATCACCCTCTCCATCATTATTAGCATACAGCCTGAAGTTCCAGCATAACCTTTTAAAATAAGTTGTTGTTTTTTTTAAAATCCAAGTCTCAAACACTGACTTCTCTCTTTTACTTTTGGATGGCATGAAGGGGGTTGGGGGGGAAGGGGAAGAGAAGTAAGCTTATTAAGAAGGTAGTCAAGTAACCGAATCAAGATTCCAAATAATCTCAATAGATGAGAGGATTTGACCTGAAACAACCAAATGAAAAATAATACAGATAAATATAAAGTTCTGCACTAGGGGCAGTTAGGTGGCACAGTGCATACAGCAGGAGTGGGGCCTCAAGGCTGCAGGTTCCCCATCCCTGGGATAGAGTGTCAGCCTTTGAGACAAGAAGACAAGTTCAAATCTGGCCTCAGACACTTACTAGCTGTGTGACCCAAGGCAAGTCACTTAACCCCTATTTGCCTCAGTTCCTCATCTTTACAATGGGGACACACTGGAGAAGAAAACAGCAAACCACTCTAATATTTCTGCCAAGAAAACTGTCAATGAAGTCACGTAGAGTCGGACACTACTGAACAAAACCTGCATTGAGTTTCAAAAACTCAACTGTACAAGTATCAGAATGAGGGAGTTTTAGCTTAACGGCTGTATGTCTAAAAAAAAAACCAAAAAACAGGATCAGTGTCTAGACAGTATGGTTTGGTAGCGAGGGAGTCAGAGTTGAGTCAGGAAGACTTGCTTATGACACATCCTAGCTTCACCTCTCCAGGCAAGTCAGTTAAACGCTCAACGTCCCTAGGAAACAATTACGATGAAGAGTAAAAGAGAGACATTTAAAAAAAAAAAGAGGAAGCAATAGTATTTAGTGCATGGTTCCATATGAGGAGTTAGAGAAGGAAGAGTCGGATGAGTTGAAAGTTTTGGCTCTGGGGGAAAGAGAACGAGAAGCTGGGGGAGGAGTAAGTGAGAATGCAAAGATCAGCAGAATGAGTTAAATTTTAGACCTGCTGAGTTTGACTTATCATTCAACTAGAAATCATGAAATTTAGATTTAGCTCGGGATCTGGGGCTGAACTCAGAGAACACGTAATTCAATTTTCCTCATTTTACAGATGAGGAAACTGAGGCCCAGGGAGATTAAGTGACTTGCCCAAAGTCATACAAGTAGTAAGCATCACAGGTGTGATTTGAACCAAGGTCACTGAATTTTAGAGTCAATGTTTGTACCACACTACTTCCACCACCCTCAAATGAAACAAGAGGGTCTTATTAAAAAGAATGCTTAAACCTGTCTTTAGAAATACTGATAAAACTTACTCATCATTTTCCATTTCCTGGATAGAGAGGTCATTCTTTATAACTAAGAGGCTGAGATGTTTTTAAAAGAATAAATTTCAGATGAAACATAGATCTAAGTGCTAAGAATAGACTTTCCTCTCTACCAGGAGGTGTTCCTTCTCATTACCTCTACAATTAAGAGCAAAAGAATATAATTTCCCAAGTAAGATAATAACTTGCATGCTTCATTCACACTTAATAACTTCCTGAGTTATTCTATCTCCCTCTTAAAGGTTATCTAAGTCACACAGGCAATAAAGGCTGTATAGGTTATATCGGTTATATAAACATCAAACACACTTGTTATAAGCTCTCAGTCTGAAGGAGCACTAGAATAAGGGGTTATATAACCAAAAAAAGGGGGGGAATTCACCTTACTTGTGTTGAAGAATTATAAGCAAATAAAATTTCCCTCCCCCTTTTTTTACCCTGAGCAGCAGGGGGATAATATATTTGTTAAAACAGTTGAAACAATAAAGTTCATAGTAGCTAGTACTACGGATAGTAGAAGAAAATCAGACCTGGAGTAAAGAATACCTGGATTTGATTCCTCGCTCTACCACTTAATCGCTATGCAATAGTAAAGAAATCACTTACTCAACCTAAACTTCAGTTTCCTAAAATTGAAAATGAGGATAATAGTGTTAATCTTATGTCTTCTCATTGATCCAGTGAAAATGTGGAAAGCATTCTGAAAATGGCAGAGCACTCTGGGCATCTGTCAGATGTCATAATAATTTGGGAGGGGAAGACTGGAATATTATTTCAAAAAAGCACTTTACCACAATGGAGGTGTTAAAGAAATCAGACTTGAACACAGAGGAGATGACTTTCAGCATTTGCTCAGATTGAGCTATACAGGTCATCCAAATCTGTGTGGGCACCTTGGATTCAAGATGTGGAAAATCCAATGATGCTGGTAAATCCATAAAATACACCTAAACTGCTCAGACAGCTCTAGCTGACCTCTGAAGGTCAAACGGGGCCAATGTTGGTGATTGCAGGGACTAAAGCTATTCCTTCTCACCCTTTCCTGACATAATTGCATTCAGAACCCTTTCCTCCATCTCTGCTAGGCAGATGTAAGACTGCTTTCTAGGGTAATCGAATTCTTATTCCTTTCCTTCTTCCATTCACTTGGAAAAACTGAAACTGTTCAAACAAAATCCATCTATTCCACTATCTAAGTAAAGCCAGGTATTTTTTGTACTGTCTCCTTCCCTGATATACCTCTACCAGGATTAGAAAGTGAGCTTCTTGAAAGAAGGGACTGACTTGCTCTTCTATTTGTAACAGTCTTTAGCACTGGCTCTTTGTACACAGTAAAATGTTTCATAATGCTTTTTCATTCATTCATCTTTATTCATTTGCTCAATGCTATCCTATGAGATTGTAAGTAGTTTAATGACAGAGTCCTTTTAAAACATATTTTACTTCTTTTTTTTTCGGGGGGAGGGGTACATTTACAGTATTAGCTCTGCAATAACAGTTAATTCTTCTTGCTGTCCTAGTCCAAATAGTAAGAAATATACTTCTCTCAGGCAGGATGACTGATCTAAACGACAAATGACATCTTTGTTCTCCCTTTTAAAACATTCTTTTGTTTTCATGTTGTCTTTCAGGTTTTATGTTTAAAAATCACACTCAGGAGCGTGAAAAATTCTTCTGCCACTGCAGCTAGAAAGCTAATATACTCAGGACACCTCCTGGTTTCTAGCATCTGGGAACAGAAGGATTCCACTGGATCACAGAAATCCGGAACTGGCACTAAAACAGGGCACATCTATTTAGTGTATGAGCAATTACTTTACACCTGGCTTTCTAAATCAATCAATAATAATCAATAATCATTAATTAAGCATCTACTCTGTGCCAGACACTGTGATAAGTGCTGAGGATATGAAAAAGAGCCAAAAGATGATCCCTGCCCTCGAGGAGCTTACAATCTAATGTGAAAGACAACATGTAAACAAACATATATCAACACAGCAAACATATATGATATAGCAAGCCATATCCAGGAAAAATAGGAAAGAATTAGCAGAGAGAAAGCACTAGAATTAAGAGGGAAGAATTATGAAGAAAAAGGTGGAAAACCTCAAGATACTCCTAAACTTTAATTGCTAGCCAAGAAATCCATCTGTGTGAGAATTAAAACCAAATAATTTCATGTGTCTAATATCAATTAAAAATTATCTTCAGGGATAGACACAGTATGTCTGTATCAGAAGATAAAATGTTCCGGTTACCTTATTGACAAGGGTGACTATGTCGCCTTCTCTGATTGTCAGTTCATCCTCATTCTGTGCTTCGTAGGGAAATATGACTTTGCAATAATCCTTGCCTATTAAAAAAAAGGCACATGTTTTTATAGAGCTATAACCAATTAGCTATTTCATAACATAATGTTCTCACCTATAGGCCTCGGAAAAAACAATACCTAGAACACAGAACCATGAAAAGAGAGTAATGTTATGTAAGAAAGCATGAATAGATAATACCCAAGATCAACACTTTTCCTCCTCTCTTCAAAGACAACCTGAAATTAAGAAGTGCTACTACTTGCTTTAACTTCATAGAACAGTGAAACAAGAAAATAGCTCTAGGTGTCAATGAAATGTTAAAAAAAATTAATATTAGTAGTCCATACTTTGTTAGTAACAACAAGTTTAAACAATTTCCTTCACCAGGTTTCCCCACACATTATTAGATTAACAAGGAGTCTTATGCCCAAACACTTCCAAAGTTCACAGGCTACATATATGAATCAATCATATAAGCTGATGAGATTAGTGTGAATTCTGGGAACAAAACTCAACAGTTTCCTTTAAGAACACTATAATAAGCTGAAATATTTGCATGGACACACAAAATTTTGTTTATATAAATTAGGTGACTAGAAATCTTCAATAATATTGGCTAGGTGGTCTATAATATGTACATTTATTTGCAAGAATATACTGATAGGGGCACCCAGGTAGTACAGTGGATAGAGCAATAGCCCTGAAGTCAGGAAGACCTGAAATCAAATCCAGCCTCAGACATTTACTAGTTGTGTGACCTGGGCAAGTCACTTAATCCCATGGCCTAAAAAAAAATATACACATATACATATAAGAACATATCTATATACATATTATGGCTCATATGCAAAACCCCACCAATTTCTGGATATAATTACCTCTCTTCATCTTAGCCGTGCCTCAACGACGAAAAACACTACAAACTCAAAAATATTCAAAACTTGAAATACCAGGTGAATTATGGATGAAAATAGTTAGCTACACTTTTCATGGGCATGAAAGTTGCAGACAATTAAATCCATTAACAGGTATTTAGGCTTTGAGGAGGCAGGAAAACAGACGACCATTATAAGGGTCACCTGAGGGAGGTTTTGTTTATTTTGTTTTTACGATATACAAAAATTATCTCATCTGACCCTCAAAACAATCTAGGAAGGTAAGTGCTATTATTATTCCCATTTTACAGTTGAGGAAATGAGGCAAATAGAGGTTATATGACTTGCCCAAGGTCACACAGCTAGTAAGTGTCTCAGGATGGATTTGAACTCAAGTTTTCCTGACTCCAGGTCTAGTGCTCTATCTACTGCACCACCTTGCTGCCTTATTATCATCATTATCTATTCTAGTAATGTCAAAATCCTCAAATATTCCCCGGTGTGTATGTTGCTAAATAAAGCCCACTTTAAAATGTTATCATACATCATTTTCCTTATGTTATTAATATTAAACATTACCACTTCTGAGCCATCCAAATGTTACAACTGAAAAAAGTTTTAAAAAACTAAAAAAACCATAAGGAAAACTTTCTATGAGAGAAAGAAAATTCACTCATTAATTCATTCATTCATTCATACATTCATTATTTCCCTCTTGATCATTTATGATTTATGACCAACAACCTTGAATAAATATACACTATTACTAAAAGAACATTGTTCTACACAGACCTGGAAAGCCATTATCTATAACAAAGTGCTCCATGGCTTTTAAATAATTCTTACTTTATAAGTCACTGAGACATGCTGAATGAGACTATGTAGTTGTGTGGTCATTTCAGAACACTGATGGATCAATGATAAAAAATACTGGGAACTCCACTAGTCCTATTCTCATACCCAGCAGTTCAATAAGTATAAAAACTGTTCCAATAGCCTGTCTGAAGAACTATTACACCAACAAAATTGTAAATATTATCATCAACTAATCTATGTTTTTATTCAGTCATTTTCAGTCCTGTCCCAGTCTTCATGACCCTATGATCCCATTTGGGGTTTTCTTGACAGAGATACTGGAGTGGTTTGCCATTTCCTTCTCCAGCTCATTTTATAAATGAGGAAACTGAGGCAAACAAGATTAAGTGAGTTGCACAGGGTCACACAGCTAGTAAATGTTTGAGGCTGGATTTGAACTCAGGAAGATGAGGCTTCCTGACTTCAGGGCCAGCACTCTATCCACTGAACCACTTAGCTGCTCCAATTAATCTGTACAGTGGTTTGTATTTTTATTAAAATAATTTCCCTCTCATTATCACATTGTATGTTTATAACACGTGTGTGAAATAGGTAAGATAGGTAGATAATTACTATTCCCCTTTATAGATAAAGAAATAGGATATTGCTACAGACTAGATCCATGAATTCACTGGTAAAGGCACCCTCCCAGGTGGGGAAACTCCCTCTCCCATTGCAGACTAGCAACTTTTCTGCAACTTATTGTCTTGGTGACTTGCCCAGAGCACTATGAGGTTAAGTAACTTGCCTAGGATCACACAGCCAGTCTGTGTGTGGGACAGGACATGAACCCAGGTCTTCTGGCCCGAAGGCCAACTCTCTATCCCTTACATCATGCAGCCTCTCTAAAGGAAATGTCCATAGGTTAAATGACTTGCCCAAAGTCATGGAACTAGTGACAGAGCAAGGACTAAAACACAAATTCTCCTATTACAGCATACCATATTTTTGTCTGTAGAATTTTCTTCCATGCAACTTCTAGACAAGGGATGGCTCACAAGGGACATTAATGTTTCTTCAATTAGCAGTCTTTATTAATGATAATCCTGGTACTTTGCCTAACATGTGTGTGTGCACGCGTCTCAAAGGAATCATAAATTTAGAGCTAGAAGGAACTTCAGACATCATCTAATCTAATTCCTTCATCTTAGATGAGGAAACTACAAAGGCCCAGAAAAATTAAATACCTTGCCCAATGTCACACAACAACTATGCACCAAAGTTGGAATACATTATACCGCATAAGGAAATGCTGCATAGTATATAGCTATATGTATATACATCCATAAATACAAATACACACACATCTCACAATTTCCTCATTGCCTGTCATTTGACAATCTCAAAGTACTACACAAAAGCAAATTATTTCCCTTCCAAAGGTTGCCTGGCACCAGCTCCCTCATCTTCCCTCCTCTTGATCTCAAAACATTCTCAAGAGATATCTTTAATGCCTTCAAATATCTCTACATCTTCATGTATCTTTTTATTCATTTCCTTTTTTTCTTCCTTCTTCTTTTTCCAAAGCTGATCCCTCTGACTTACACTTTTTCAGGGATCCTTTTAATAAAAGCTTACTCAAGTCTCTCTGATTTTAACAATAACTTTCCTTGAGCCCTACTGCCTCCTTGAGCTACTGTCCTCTCACATCAGCTGAATTTCTTAAGAGAGTCATTTAGGATGATAGATGTAAATCTGGAAGGGGCATGGGAAACCACCTATTACAACCCCCTTCTTTTCCAGATGTGGAAACTGGGGGCCAGGCGGGCCCCAAGCCAAATACTCTGGTTGGTTGGTTGTTGTCCTTCAATCATGAAGAGGACCATAATGACATCACTGTGTTGGAGAGAACGTACATTGTGTCTGACTGTGACTGAGCAGACTGGAGTGGGCTTGGAAGGTTCTACCACAAGTTGGGCACCAATTGTCCATATGAACACTTGGAGCAGAGATGTCTCTATGTTTGTACATTTCATGTTTCTTTTGATCCACTGCAGTTCTGCTTCATGCTGGGCTTCCTTGATGTAGGCACACCACGCTGGGCAGTCCTGTGCCAGTGTCTTCCATGTCTTACACTCAGTTTCAGAGTTCTTCAGAGAGACCTTGAGAGTGTCCTTTTATCACTTCTTCTGACCTCCATGTGAACACCTGCTTTGCGTGAGTTCTCTGTAAAATAGTCTTTTAGGCAAATGCACATTTGGCATTCAAATAACGTGGCCAGCTCAACTGAATTGTACTGTCCGCAGCAGAGTTTGAATGCTCGGCAGTTCAGCTTGAGAAAGGACCTCCAGTACAGTACCTTACCTTGCAAGGTGATCCTCAGAATCACCCTAAGAAAATTTGAATGGAAGCAATTCATTTTCCTGGCATGGTGCTGGTAGACTGTCCAGGTTTCACAGGAATATAACGATGAGGTCAGCACAATGGCTCTGTAGACCTTCAGTTTGGTAGGCAGTCTACTACCTCTTCTCTCCCACACTTTCCTTTGGAGCCTCGCAAACACTGAGCTAGCGCTGGCAAAGCGTGCATCATCATGTATGTGGACACCCCTGAAAAGTATACTGTCAAGGTAAGTGAACTTAGCCATAACATTCAAAATTTCTCCATTTGCTATAACTGATAGTTCCACGTGTGGATGGTACAGTGCTGGCTGGTGGCAAATCCGTTTCCTTGGTGTTAATTGTTAGGCTAAAATTAGCACAAGTAGCAGAGAACTGATCCATATTCTGTTGCATCTCAGCCTCAGAGGCTGCAGCGAGTGCCCAATACTCTGCAAATAGAAAGTCACGCACCAACTCGCTCTCCACTTTAGTCTAGACTTGTAGCCTTTTCGAGTTAAATAATCTACCATCAGTGTGGCAGCTGACCTTGATTCCGCTTTCAATCTCACTGAAGGAATTCAACAACATTGCTGAAAACATCATGCTAAAAAGCATGAGAGCAAGCACACAGCCCTGCTTCACTCCACTGGCCAAAGGGAAAGCTTGAGAGCATTATCTATCATCCAGAATCTGTACAAGCACAACATCATGAAACTGAATATAATATTGATGAACTTCTCCAGGCAACCAAATTTCACCACAATCTTCCACACGCCCTCATGACCGATAGTATCAAAGGCCTTGGTCACATTAATGAACATCGTGCACTGTTCCTGGCATTGTCAGGCAGCAAACACCATACTGACTATTCCTTGGCCATTTCTAAAGCCACGAGTCTTGGGTAGATGACCATCTTCCAGGTGAAGGATTAGCCTATTGAGAAGGACTCAGTAACTAAAAGAGAGCCCCCTCACCCTACCATGATTGTCA